AGCATATTTTGAAAACTAGTAATTTTGACTATCTCTTAGACAAAAGAATTCTGTCATAAAAGTGTCAAATACACATCGGGGCATCCAAATGTGTTTATTGCCTTACCCCCACTCCCTTATCTTGGGTGCTAGCCGCTCCTAATAATTTTTCTAAAATGAGAACCTACCCCGTGTGATAGCTCCTTTAAAAGGTTATTTATTCGTCTTTAGAGACGTGCGGAAGCAGATAGAATTACGATAAACACATTATTTGGTTTCTTCTATGTGTATTCGAAACTTTATTGATAGAATTTTTTTGTCTATGAGATAGTCAAAATTGCTAATTTCCAAAATATGCTCACTTTCAAACAGCGATATCGCAAAAACTAATCGTCCGATTCAAGATTTTGCTATATGACTGTAAAGGGATAGTAACGAGCTATCAAACGATGTGCAACACAAGGTAGGTTCGCATTTGAAAAAAAAAAGTTGGGGTAGCTACTCCCTAAGAGGTGAGGCGGGGTGACTCAAAAAGTGCCTCATTTTGGTTCCCCCTCCAGTACCCCGATACGTATTTGAGATCTTCCTGATAGTATTTTTTGTCTAAGAGAGATTCCTGATTGCTACTTTTCAAATTGTCACCCTGTATATAGGTACTCCATAAAAATGTTATTTTAATTTCTAGCATGTACAGGGTGGTCCAATTTGGACACTTTTAATAGGAAAAGCTTCATAACGTTTTTATTCATGAAAAGAATTGATTCCGTAAAAAAAAGCTGAATCCAGTGATATTCCCAGTGTTTTTTAATTTGGCCCCCGAGATATTGTCACGCTACAAGTCCGATTTTTTTTTAATAGGACATATATAATATGCTCATTGGATAGGTCTGCTTTTGCTGATTCCAATGAGATTGCATCAAATCTGCAAAAACTTACCCTGGCGCAGATATAAATTCGGATCACAATCCGTATGTAGCGAACATCCAGTTGACACTAAAACGATGTACAGGGTTATTGGTTATAAATGACACCCCCCTCTATCTTTTTTATTTGACATTTTAGAAAAAAGTTTCCCAAATAAAAAATTTATGGTTGAAATTAAATTTTTTGAAAAACTCACTTTTGCATATACAGGGTGTTTCAAAAAAGCTGGTAGTGCTCCAACTTTCTTATTTTAAATTGAATACCCTGTATATTATTCAATATTCGGATTCTACATAAAATTCTGAGTAGATTTGATGTGATATACCCTATACCTAAGTTCAACTGTTTTGGCAATATTGACACTTGAACATTGACTTTTTTGCAACTTTGACAGGCTGTAAATCCTAAACGGTTAATTTTAGAGCAAAACCGATCTTACATTCTTGTCTTATATTTTTATAAACTAGCAGTTGACACCAATATTTGACATCAACTTTGAATTTAATCCATGATTGAAAATTCCAATTAAATTTAATCTTCGGTTAAATTCAAAGTTGGTATCAAATGATAGCTTGTGAAAATATTAGAAAAAAATGTAAGATCGGTTTTGCTCAAAAGTTAACCGTTTAGGTTTTACAGCCTGTCAAATTTGCAAAAAAGTTAATTTTCAACTGTCAATATTTCTAAAACAGTTGAACTTAGGTATAGGGTATATCACATGAAATCGGCTCAGAATTTTATGTAGAATCCGAATATTGAATAATATACAGGGTATTCAATTTAAAATAAGAAAGTTGGAGCACTACCAGCTTTTTTGAAACACTATATGCAAAAGTGAGTTTTTCAAAAAATTTAATTTCAACCATAAATTTTTTATTTGGGACACTTTTTTCCAAAATGTCAAATAAAAAAGATAGAGGGGGGTGACATTTATAACCAATAACCCTGTACAGCTAAAACCAATAGCCCGAGACTGGATCTGATAATAGTAACCATCTTACCAACTCTGGCCAAGGTTAGAAACAAATTAGATAATAAACTAAACATAATAAACAGAGCAGAAAATCAAGAAGTGGAGACCTTATGGACCGGTATCAGGGAAGCCTTTGTTAGTGTCCGCACGGAATTTCCATCAACTCTAGGGTCAGAAAAAAAGCTTGGATGATTGATGAAATCCTCGACTTGATGGAAGAAAGACGCCTGCAAAAAGGACCAGCCAGCATATCGTCAGTTGAATTGTCAAATAAAACAAAGTCAGGGGAGCTAGAGATAATTGGCTAAACGATCGGTGTGAGGAAAGACCTCGTAGCAAAATATGACAGTTTTAATATGCATAAGAAAATTAAAGAAGCTGCTGGTGTACAAACCTCGACAGACCGGCGTTCTGTTGGACAGTCAAGGTAAGATAATTCTTGATGTCAACGACAAAGTAAAACAGTGGTGCAGTTACATCGAAAACCTGTTTCAGGACGAGAGATGGGAAATTCCTGAAGAGTATTCACGGGAAGGACTAGATATAACTAAGGAAGAAGTCCAACACGCCATTCAGATATACAAAAACGGGAAAGCGGCAGATCCAGCGAGACGGTGTCTATTCAGAGCTTATTGAAATCCTAACAAATTAAGAGTCACTACACGTAATGGTGAAGCTTTTTAATATGATTTACCGATCCGGAATCATTCCCTCTGACTGGCATTAGTCAACAGTTGTGACGCTTCCGAAGAAAAGCTCTGCAAAACGATGTAGCGATCATCGCCTTATTAGCTTGATGAGCTACTTTCTCAATATTTTTCTAAAGATCATCCATAAAAGAATGTACGCAAAGTGCGAGTCCTTCACGGGCGAATCCCAATTTAGTTCTCGTAACGGTTTTGGCACTAGAGAGGCCCTCTTTAGCATCCAAGTGCTGGATCAAAGATCTAGAGATGTTTCTGTTCCAGTATACGCATGCTTCGTAGACTATGAGAAAGCGTTCGACAGGGTACAACACGAGAAGCTTATGAGCATTCTCAAGGATGATAGAGAACTTAAGATAATCGCATATCTCTACTGGAATCAGACTGCACAAATCAAGGTAGACCAACAAATGTCTCACGAAGTACGGATACAAAGAGCTATCCGGCAGGGTTGCATCCTTTCACCATTACTTTTCAATATTTATTCGAACAAAATATTTGAAAAAGTATTAGAAGACTGCACTGAGGAAATTTCTATCAACGGCGTGATCATTAACAATCTTCGGTATGCCGCCGATACGGTTTTAGTTGCTGATTCTCTGGAAGGTTTTCAAGTATTACGTGATCATTTGGCAACTGAAAGAGAAGAATTTAGATTAAAATTGAACGCCAAAAAAACTAAATGGATGGTGATCTTTAAAAACCAGGTTGGAGGAGGTATTTTTCAGGTACAGAACCAACAGATCGATCGGGTCCAATTATACAGATTCCTGGATGTTAGGTTAATGAAGACTGGGATAAGATGCAGGAGGTTCGTGTCAGGATTGAACAAGCCAGAGCATCATTCGTAAAAATGAAGTCCGTGTTGTGTAGTCAGGCCTCTCCGTTCGCACTTGAGTACTACGTTGAGACGTCAGTATTCTCTATTATGGGATGAGGACTCTGGCAGACGCCATGTGTGTAAAAAGCTAGAGGCTTTTGAAATGTGGACATATAGACGAATATTGAAAATATCTTGGACGGACAGAGTGCGCAATGAAGATGTGCTAACGGGACTGTCACAGGATGTTGAAGTTATGTTTAGACCCACGGACTCATACTCAGGAATGACGAATACTTACTTCTCAAGCTCCTAATTGAGAGAAAAATCGATGGCGAGAGAGGCCCTGTACCTACGTTGAAGAATATCTTGGCTGAAGAATCTGCGTCACTGGTAGGGCAAAACCACGACAGGTCTATTCAGAAAAGCAGTCGACAAAGTACAAATAGTGCTGAGATTGCCAACGTTCATAGACAACAAGGCACTTGAAGAAGAAGAAGAATGATAATATAAAGTTCGAACGGATTTTTTTCTCAAAAAATCTTAAAGATAAACCTATCGAACTTTATATCATTGAAATCGGCAAAAGCAGGGCTATCCAATAAGTTATGAAAATATAGGGTTTCCTATGTAAAAAAATTGGACTTTGGTCAATATCTCGGAATACTGGCAGAATACCAAAAAACTGAGAATGTCATTGGATTCTGTTTCTAAAATAATATACTAAGTTTAAACAAAATCTGTCGGTGACCGAAATCCATAAGAAGTGTGAGATGTTCTTTGAAGTATTCTTTTTGGAATGTACGTCATTTCACAAGGTTCTCTCTCGGCTACATGATTCATTTTTGAGTGAGATGCGCGATACACAACCCAAATGACACAACATTGGATTGATACAGCCCATTCCTTGCTTAAAATTCTGCGTTTACCCCCGTTGCTGCCGGTATCTGGCAATATACGCTTGTCGTATCCAATCAAAAACGACTTAGAGACTGCCAGAGTATTCGGGTAAGAGATGCTGCCTTTCGTTCTGTAACGTCAACCCTAATTATCAACACATAATTTAGTTGATCTAATCGTAGTAAAGGGCTGGTGACAACCACTACTGGTCACTTCGATAACTCTAAAATCCGGGCAAAAAGTACCCTATTTCACGGCAAACACATGGAAGGAGTTGATTATTGTCGGACAAAACATTATTAAGTGATTTATAAATGAGTAAGTGTGTCTATTTGACAGGAAAAACCTATCAAATGTCGGCTTATCAAAATTTTGACATCAAGAGTAAAAACCCAGAAACAATTGGGTGGTACTGGTGATGTACGAATATTACATGCATGTAATTGGTGAGCCGCTTAAGAGTCAATTCAGAAGTGCAACTAATGTGAAAAATTTTCTAGATGTAGCGCCCATACTTTGTAATCTATATATGTTGTAGTCTGGCCCATTTTGGTCGGGTATCGGCCCTATAGCTCCTAGATTGCCTAATTTCTCAGCTATAACGAACAGAATTGAAAATTATATATTGTTTATACCTTCTATGTTTAATGTTTTTTTTTTTTTTGTTGCAGGTACTAGTGTTTTTTTATTATTTTTAAAAATGGCATTCGCGGGATTGAAGAAGCAAATTAATAAAGCCAATCAGGTAAATTACTTGTAGTTTTTGTTTCGTTTGTGTTGGATTTATTTATGTTTCAGTATGTCACGGAAAAAATGGGAGGCGCGGAGGGCACAAAATTGGATTTGGATTTTATGGATATGGAAAAAGTGAGTAATACCTAGAGACATAAAATTTTCCTAAAATCGTTCAAATAGAAAATTATTATGTATTCGTGGTAATAAGGGTATTGTCCGGAGTGGGGATGTATTATATTTACGCTAAGGCAGGTATTAGACTCAACGATCGTCCTCGAACGTTCTCGGGCGAACCGTATGATAACGGTCATCGGGAATTTATATACTCAACGTTCTTCATCAATCAACTTTTCTTGCTTTCTGCCAATCATATGTCTGCGAGTTCTGGGAAATTTTCCGATTCAGCATGCGTAGTTGCCGGCGATCGATCGTGGTTGACCAAAATTTCGAACCGGTTCGAAACTCCTTTACTCCAACCGGTCGCCGTTGGTCAACCGAAGATGGTCGGGCAGTATGAATGGAACTGCTCGTTTTACGTTGTTGGTTTTTTGCTCGTTCGAGGACGATCGATAGTGGTAGTTCACTCTAATCCCTACCTTATATAAACCAAGCTAAAGGCATGACTCGCCCATCTCACGAATTCTGATGAGGAATTCACCTTAACCCCGATTCACCAGTTCAGAGCGAAACAAACATGTATTCAGGTTCCTTCTGCAGTTAAAAGATCAATTCTCAGAACACTCTTCGTTTGACGGTTTGATTGTCTGCATCTAACTGGTATGCAATAATTTACTGTAGTATAGTGATAATGATAACAGGCGACGTGGGGTTGACTTACCTGCCAATTTATCGCATCTCGTGTACGTTTTTTCCGACTTAAAGGATTTCCGTGTTGCCAGAAGTCTGTTTTATTCCTCCAGGATAGGAAATTCATTTGATTGAAATTTGAAAGGAAGCTAAGAGCAACAAAAAAATATTTCCATCTGGTGAATTTACTAGAGAGGGTAATTCCTCAGGTAATAGTCGTATTCGGATCCTGGCAGCATCACCCAATTTGGTTTACTGTGACCTCTATCTGTAACAATATTCCATTTGATGCTTTATTTCGCCGGCAGAGTTGTGCCCCAAACTTGAAATTCAGCTGTCTGGCATAGGACCCACAGATTGAAAATACTAGAAGACGAATATTTTTTATAGGATATACATTAGGCTGATAGACCGATGTAGCCGATTTTTCCAAAACAAAACCATCTGCGATCAGTGGCAGCTTGTAAGTCTGTCGCAAGATGAGGCTACAAAGTGGTATTGTTTTAAAGTAGGTAACCTTTGGTAAAAGCCCGCCGCCGCAGACAAAAGATTTTTTTGGTGCATTGCCCAAAAACGTTCATTTTAAGCCTTAAAAAAAAAAAATTATTGTTAGTTATGTGCCTTGGTGTTTACTTACCTATCAAAATTTAAACATAATGTTAAGGGATTTGACCTCAACCACACAACCGACTAAACTGAAAATACCACTGCGATAGGCCACTTTCATATATTTCAGAAACATTTTTAAATTATTCTGTTTGTCATTCTAATAACATCTGTATACTTTGTTTCCAGAAAAAAAAAACGCTAATTTTTGAAAATGATATGATTTGGAAATCGAATTTTTAAACTGCTGCGAAAACGCGGGATAGGAAAGTGACGTTACTTTTCCAGGAATGCGAGTATGCCGAATTTTTCATCAGTAGATCATTAAACAACTCACTACCTAGAAACATTTTTTTTTGTCCTTTACTACGTTAAAAAAACTAAAAGATAGGTATAATCGTTGAACTCATTTAAATTTCGCTTTTTTGAATGTGGCAACAAGCGCATGAATATCGGCTTTAGCCAATGAGACGGCGTTTTCAGTAACGTGATTTTTTGTTTGAATTTGCTATTTTTATTTATTAATTTATTTAATAATCTGACCAAAATCTTACAAAATATTGTTTATTCTCGGTTGCATCTATGTATTTACGTCAAAAACTATCATAATTTGCCATATTCCTGGCACGTGAATTTCTGTACTTCCATCTCCAAAAATTTACAAAATCTTTTTTGGCTTCTTCCCTTCATCTTGACATTGGGGTTTCCACTCTTTCCAGAAGAATACACATGTAGTCTATGTGAATCTCGTTGCTCAATTTAACCATAAAATCAAGAAGAGTTTTGAAGAGATTGTGCAAAATTATCCCTTTCATAATTAGCACAGCACAACGAAAGGACTGACATAGATTGCTTCATGAAATAGCCATCAAACCCTCAATCTGCTGTAAAAAAAAAATAACCTTGTAATTATTTTGTACTACATATTTATATTATTTTTATTTACTATGAGTCCCAGGTTCAAAAATGATAAATACAAGGAATGAAGTTTTAATGCCTTTATTTTAGATTTAACAAATAAAAACTCCCTTTTTTTTATTGAAAAACTTACATACCTACTATAAATACCCATGTCTAACTAAGCACCTACTTGAATAACTATAAACCCAAAATAAACAGTGGCGGCTCGTAATAAAGGGCTCTGGGGCGCCGCCCTCCCTGTAGTAAGTGAAAAATGAATTATTTTTGTTTTTCTTGAAACCCCAAAAATACTTCATTCAGAAAACCAATAAAACAATAACATGAAAATTGAAATTAATGAAATTCAAACATGCCGATATTCGGGCAAGTTATATCGAATGAGTAACGCATTTCGTTAGTTCTACGGGGACTACGGGCAACTTATGCCTGCCGAACGCGGGCGCTAGAAAATCCGTCCCGGCTAGTGCCAGGATTTAAGCCTAGTTCTCATGGTGCGGGATTCCGCATTGCGGGTCCGGAAATCGCAGTTTTTTGAAAATCGTAATTTTTGATGGTTCACATGAAACGGAATTAGGGAATCCAAACCACGTGACTTTTGCGAACCAGCCGGCATTTTGAAATTTTTATGAGGTTAGAATACGGGTTGTTACATGTCAAAGATGTCAGAAAATTGTCAGATTGATAAAGCCTAGTACTCATAACCGCGAAATTCGCTCTTTTTTGACATTGCTTCGACAATTTGACGTTTGATTCACGCATAAAACGTCAAATTGTCGAAGCAGTGTTAAAAAAGAGCGAATTTCGCTGTTATGAGTAGTAGGCTTAATCCTGCCAAAAAAAAAACATATGTTTTTTGTTTATTGTTTGCCAACCAGACGCCATTTGGACAGGTCGTTGGATTGCCTAATTCCGGATGCGGTTTTATGTCAAATACATGTGATCTTAACCTAACATATTTTTTGTTTTTGTTTTCCTGTGTGCCTGGATGGATAATTATATTGCACAATTAAATTATTATCAATGGAAAAGACAAAGGGAGGTATGAAAAAAAACAAAGTATCTGCTACTACGACAAGTAGTAGTATATTCTTCGTAGTGTTTACTTTAAAATGAAGTAGATACTACATTTCGAAACTACCGGAAATTAGTAAATCCTTTGTTGTGAGGTAAATACTTCGTAGAATATACTACTACCTGTAGAAGTAGCAAGTAAAATCTGTTTTTTTTTTAAAGATAAAAGTCAAAATGACATTATGTTGGCAATACAATGTGAAATTGTCAATGCTTTCAAATTTTTTGTGCAGAAAAGGCTTGTGTTGCCAACAAAGTTACTAAATTTTTGACTTAGGGAATTATCTTTAAAAAAAAAACGTAGGTACTTTACTTCGTTTTTATTCAGACTACCACCCAATATACGTTAGTATTGGGTTTGCTATTAATCCATAATATGCATGAAACTTCATCAAAGAAGCAGAATAGCAGAGGAATATTAAAAAAAGGAAGATGTTGTTCAGAAATATTCTTCTGAAAAGGCATGAATAAGGGGGTTTGCCGTAATAATATGTATTTGAAAATAAAACAAGCACACAAGCAAGCAGATCAATTTATTTTTGTTAGGTATTAATTGTTTTATTGTTTTTTGTTTGAGGTTAGTTTATTTGTTTATGTAGAAATCAAACAAAGATGAGAAATGTTTAGACAAAGACAGAAAAAAAAATCGCAAGAAAGTTGAAAATGGTTCAACCAACTTTATTGCGGATCCGCAAAAAAGTTGACGTTTTCCCGCCAACGGAATTATTTCAAAAATTCCGCACCCGCGCAATCCGGAATTCCGCATCATGAGAACTAGGCTTTACGTGGGTTGCCATGGCCAGGGACGTAGCGAAGGCCTCTGGTTTGGGGGGGGGGGGGGGGGGGTGACATTCCTAATTTTCCCAATTTTTTTGAAACATAAAAAAAATCATATATAGCATCGTACACGTGTTAAAAAGTGAAACTTTTTAAAAACTATTCCCTTCCTCATACAACTTTTAGACATAGCGCATGAGTCGAGGTATAAAGACGAAAGGCAACACAAAAGAAAAACGCGCATCTGTAGTGACGTCACAAGGGTAACGGCTGTCATTGTCATTGGCTGTCTTTCTCCGTCTGTCTACGTTATAACTTTCTTCTCTCTCGTCTCTCGTGTGCCGAAATTTGCCATAACGTGACGCGTCTTTCAAAACACTTTACAAGAAGTTTCACTTAAGAAAAATCATGTGCAGCGCATTGTGCACGTGTTGGGAGGTGAAACTTTTTAAAAACTATACCCTTCCTCATACAGCTTTTAGACTTAGCGTATGAGTCGGGGTAAAGACGAAAGGCCACACAAAAGGGAGAGGCGCATCTATAGTGACGCCACAAGGGTATCTGCGCTTGACAACAATAGGCATTCCTCTTTGCTTATAAACCTTGGTTTGTGTTAATCGTTCCTCGTCTGTGATTGTCATTGGGTACATTCAGGCGGTCCCAGCGGCTAAGCTCAGCCACTCATCAGGGACTTTATTCTCGAAACCAAGGAACAGTGTTCTCATAAGAACGATTGCTCTGTCATTGTCAGTGTTATGCCGGACGACAAAGACAGAACCTTCGTTCCAATGAGAACGCTGCTCCCCTGTTTCGAGAATAAAGTTCCTGCTGAGTGGCTGAGCTTAGCCGCTGGGACCGCCTGAATGTACGCATTGGCTCGCTTTCTCCGTCTCTCTACAGTCTACTATATATTCCTTCTCTCTCATCTCTCGTGTAACGAAATTTGCCAA